TTTTTTCCCCCAGGTCTTCCTTGGACCCCGGATCCGATCGTACCCGTCGTGACGATACGATATTTTCTCCGGACGGATCCAAGTCCTCTTGCCGTCGTCGCTCTCGTTTCGCCCATGCTCGGTCTCGGAATCCGCTTTCTACGAGGATTTTTACGACTCCCTGCCGTTAGCAGGGTGATGGGGAAGCGGTCGGAATGAGTCGAGTTTAAGACTCCAGTTACCGGATGAATATTTCACCGGCTGAGTGGTGAAGGCGTGAGGTGAAGACGGCCCCCCCCCCCCCCCCCCCCCTTTGCCTAATTCAAGGCCAACAGTCCCAAAGCGGGAGTTAATGTTGGAAGGGTTCCGAAGTTCCTGGCACGAGCGTGGTGGCGTGGATGGAAATAAAAAACTCTCGTTCGCATGGGTCCCCACTTTTCCAAAATGGAGACCGTTCTCGTGCGTTTCGTCCGTCTTTTCCTTCTTACTTTTGCTTCTTTTTCCGAGCAGGAGGGATCGAGAAACCTTTCTGACATTTCTTCCTGCGATGGATTAGATGGATTAGAGGTTAAGTGCTTACGCTGGAGGAGGAAAAGCGGAGTAGCGTAGCCGTGAGGAACACGAGACGGTCGATCGACACGCTCTAACCACCAAATATTTACCCGGTTCCGGGTAGGCCCGAAAAAGAGCGCGGGACGGAGACGATGAGCGTGCATGCCTCATCGCCTCCGCAACCGCAACCCCAACCCCAACCCCAACCCCAACCTTCGACCTCGCCCGTTCCGTACGTTGTGGAGTCTCTTACCGGTGGGACGGGGCGTGCCACCCACCTCGTTCGAACGGGAACTGGACCACCCTCGTTGCCGGTTCCCGTTCGCAAGGTGGGTGGTCCTGTCGTATCGTATGCGTCCCCTTGCGACCGAAACCATCCGTGACCTTGGCACGTGACCCGTGCGGGATCATCTCCGTGTAACCTGCAACTGCTCGGCCCTTTCTCGCCGCCGTTTCTGCCGATGGCTGGCATTTTTCAGTGCGACTAGCACGCCAGACGGTGAAGGAAATGAGAGATTTCAGGAAATCTCCAACGCGCTTCTCGACGCGAACGCTTCTTTGAAGAGCGACTATTTTTTTTTTTTGTCAGGTGAAAACCTGATAAATGGAATCCATCGTCGGAAGGGTTAATGGCCACCCCGTCCAGGCGTGGCCCATCACCGCGGATTCCAAATCGGAAGCGATTAAAGGGAATGCAGATGAACTTGTGACCTTGCCACGGACGGATCTTCGAGGCAAAGACGGATTAGAGTCTTTACTGCCCTAGAAGAGATTAGCAGCCTCGTCGACGGAGCAGCCGGTGAGGATTTTCGCCGACGGCATGCCCGACCGGACGAGGAAACGATAAGGAAAAAAAAAAGGGGATAAATGGCAGGGATTACCTGGAGTCGAATGTGAGAAGTACGGAGAGAAAGGTGAGAGGGAGAAGAGCGCGAGGAGGTCGGTGGGCGCGAGGAGGTCGCTGGGCGTCTTCAACGTCGGTCTTTAAGCGAGGGAAGGTGGAGCGAATCCCGGAACCCAGCCAATTTCAGTCCCTATTTTTAGGCGGTTCTCTCTCGCTCGCTTGCCCTTGACATCAATGATGGGATCTGCCATTTCGGTTCATCCCCCTTTCGCGTCTCGAAGGTCGGGGGGAAGGGGAAAGGACTTCCGAAAAGGACATCGCGTCGGGTCCGGTTTCGTTCTTTCTCTCACCGCTTCGAGTTTGGGGGAAAATCTCATTTGCGTTGCACGAACGAACGGATGGGTTGGGGGAACCGGTCTGTGCCTGTGCCAACTTGGTCAATCGAGACCAACAATTTGTCACTTGCGCGTAAAACGAACGGTAGTTCGAAGAAAGTTACTGGAGTTCCTCACAGTGTTTGCTCGGAACGGAAGGGACTGAATGACATCCGAAAATCCTTCTCTTTCACTCCCTCTCGCAACGAATTCCTCATCTCTATTGATCCGAAGATGAATCGGGGAGGATCATTTCTTTCTAGCGACCTTTCTTCGGGTCGTTTATTGACGTCTCAATTGCTGTAGGATCCTGCAGTCGCGAAAGAGATTCAGAAATCGTGCTGTTCTCGTAGAGTAATTAATAAAATCGCGTTTAGAGGGCCATTCAAGTCACGAGCCTTCGATTTTTCTTCTGTGGTTATCTTCTATGGTTTTCTGGGCCCTTGTCTCATCTCCACAGTCTTTTCCAGAATTCAATAGGATTCAGTCACGTGCTATGAAAAGTCTCATCGGAGTCTCATCCGAGAGTTCATCGGGTTTGAATATCAGATAATCCCGTTTTCACCATTTCAGAAATTTTGTTTTGATTTGAAATAATTTTGCTTGCGTGTTCGACGTCATTTCGCATTTTCGCTTTGAATATATTACATATCCATAATTCTGATGAATTGATAACACCTTCTTACATTCGGAGACATTCGAAATACATAATAAGAACTTCCCCCCCCCCCCCCAAACCTTAGAGCCAGTTACGCCACTGCATGGAAAGGAACGTCAATTCGGCTCTTTAGCACATTCACTGCCGAATATGTCATTTGGTGTTTTCGCGCAATCGTTAGGCAATGGAACTGGCAGTGAAAGTGTTAATCAGGCTCTAGAGCCCTATCAGGTTTTCCGCGAAAGAATGGGTTGATTGCTCCAATGGACGAGATATATGTTCCTTTTCATGCATTAAGTTCAGCGTTCTTGTTCATTTCGATACATCAGAGGCATTTCATGCCTGATTCCGACAGCGTCTTGATAAAAAAAATCATTTTCTCCTCTTTTTTCAGATTTTTTCTTGCAACGGAAAACGTCAACGCCTCTTTATGGTGGTTCCTTTATGCTGTTCCATCTGGCAACCCTGGCAAGCGCAACAGCTGGACTCTGTATGGCGCCTTCGGAAGCGAGTTCTTCAAATTTCAAATCAGGGCCTGTCGGAGTGAAAGTCTATAGCTACACTCTGGCAGTAAAGAAAACATAGGTAGGCCTTGACCCTCACTATTGACGTTTCTGAACTCTCCAGTCAGAACCTTGACTGAAGTCAATATTTGGGGTTCATTTACTTTAGGCCTTGGGTGAAAAACTTCGTTTGTTGGTCAACGTTTTTGTACCTAATGATTTTTAGCTCTTTTTTATTATTCGCTTTCTTTTTGCACGAAAACATTTATATCCGCAGCGAATATGATATTAAATGTCTTGTCACTTTTTCGCGACAATATCAGTTACAATTAGCTAATTGGTTGCCATAGTTGCATTTGCGTGGAAAATGTTAGAGCGGATTCCTAGCTTCGGAAAGTATGCTTTATTTTAGAATTTATGGACAGATATGTGTAAGGTAAATATCGTTTATTTAATCTCTTGGACCTAAGTTGAGTGAAAGGATAAGCAACGTTAGTGTCAGGCCTAGTGTAGGCCGAATGGCATAGGCTAGCATGCTTTAGAAAGTCAATCAGCTACAAATCAGTGTCTACTGGGAGACCTGGGCCTTGTGTGTAAGCAAGCAATCCAACCAAGAAGTATGGTGGATTTACCCTTTTATGTTGAACATTTTCCTCACACTATCTGGACCCAATTAACCTATGTACATATTCCCTTGCCTTGTGACCACTATGTATCTGGGATTGTCAGCATGAAAAATAAGTTGGACTTCTAAGATTGCAACTTTATTCTGGTCATAATATCCAACAGAAGTTCAGATTCCTGGAGAACTTGACTTATTTGTCAAAAATTTATATGAAGGTAAATGTGAATATTGATCACAAGATTAACCTTTCCACCTTTCAAAGAAAGTAAATTTTAAATAATATATTCCATCTGCATACCTCTACCTCAGCATTAGTCAAATTGCAGTTCACTCCAGAAAGACCTTGATATCTATGTGGCTTCCTCTTCATAGAATTTGATTTTGTTAGTGCTGTTTGAACTTCCCATACCAATGGGAACCACCACACTCCAAAGTGTTGAAGGTTATATTTTCATGGTGCCATATTATGATATGATAGTGGTAACCTAAGTATTCCATATTAATTGCTTCATCCAGTCAAACATCACCACCAGTCATTGATTGCCTTATGAGATTTCAATTTTCATGGAAACAAAATATAGCTGATGCAGTCAAATGTCTAAAACACATTCTTGACATCTGGGTAGCAACATGAAATCTTGCAAATAGCACCTGTCTTTTATAGTTTCCTTCAAATTCTTTGTTATGAGCCTTTTAAAAACCTTGGTTCTATCAATTCAGTTGACAGGTGCCTCTTTTTTTAATTGGAATCTTGAAAACAGCATGTGAAACCATTTCGCAAGATTCTACACAGTAGATTTTGTCAGCCTATTTCTAGATGGGATAGAAGAAAGAATTGCTATGAAAATCTTGTGCAGCCTTTTCTTTCTTGGAATGTATTTGAAATGTGATGCTTTATTTTTCAGTTTAGCAACTGGCAATGCATTTGCATGCCTCAGCTTTTGTTGGTTCCTGAAATTAGGCCTGAGCAGATGACAATGTCAACAACTGGTTCTGTGTCAGACAATGGTGTGGAGTCTCCTGTTGTGGAGGGATCCCATCAGTTTGACACCAATGAGGCTGTAAATTGTTCATTCCATTCCCTCTCAATTCGTGAAGATGCCGGAGAGAGGGGGCCCTTGATTTTATTGAAAATCCTTGAAGAGGGACATGTGAAAACATTGTCTGATGCCAATCAGGAAATGTGGGATAGTATGGTTTTCAAGGTGAGCTACAAGCACTGTGAATAGTTCTACCTCTTGTTATAAATTCAGGCAAACCAGTCTTAGCAAAGATTTAGGATTTGACACTCATACCACAAAATCAGTGAGTATATGTCACAGCAATGATAATTTTTCAGATAGTGAAACTTGCTTATTTCTTAAAACGTTTTGGTATCATTTATGGGAGGCATTTGTTGATAACTATTGTTTCAACTCCTACAACAAGTACAAGAGCTGTCCAGCCTTTGTGGGTGATTAGTTAAGAGCTGAATGATCAATTTTCATTGGTACAACAGTGCCCATTGAACATTGCAAAAAAAATTAGGGTGTAGATTATATTTTGAGTCATGAAAGAGTTCTAAAGTAATGAAGATCCTCTTCACGAGCCTTTTTAATTGGCCAGTGAACTTGGTCTACCATAATCAAAGCCATGATGCTTGGAACATGCATATGAACATCAACCTTTGCTGAAGGCAAACAGGAAAGAATTCTATGAAATGGGATGAAATGGAGAGAGAAAAGGGGATGCCAGAGGAGTTGCCTCTTTCATTGTCTTTATAATATGGTTGCTTAGAAAAAAAATAAGGTGTCAATAAGGATTGACAGCAAAGTAAGTCAATTTGATGATAAAAAATGGAAAAAGGAAGAGATACCTCACCCTGTTTTACCTTTTCCACTTTTTCTCAAACATTTATTTTACAATATTTGCTTTTGCTTGTAAGTTGTAAGCCAAGTGATCGAAGCTTCTGGGAAGTCCTTTCTTGGCATTTATGGCTATAGGAAAATATGAAAATAGTTTTCATTGATCTAGAACTTGAAACATTAAACTAAGGGGAATTTAAGTCAATAAGCTGAGGAATTGAATTCTAATCAAGTGGCAAATATTTCCCTGCATAAGTTAACAAAAGATTGAGCAATTGATGAATACTTTTTGTAAATTTTTCATTAACATTTCTTTTTATTAAATTTTAATCACAAATGTGCAATTTCCTAGATTTCCTAGACTGCAGTGAAAATAAAATGTGCATTTCAGGGAAGTTGCTTTCTGCTTCACCCCATCAGTCTTACCAGAACACAACACCAGGAGGATTTCCATCATGAACCAGACCTTGTGCACCAAAATTTCATATTCCTATTTGCTTAAAAAGTTTGCAATTATATTTTTTACATTATTAGCATTTTTACCTATTGTCATACATAATTACTTTTGGGCATGCATTCTTGCATTGGAACTTTTCCCTCCATATTTATTGCAGCCTATATCTCTTATATTTTTTTAGATCTCTTAATTCAAAATATGATTCAATAAAAAAAAACAAGCTGAGCAAGCCTTGCCCAGTAGGGAATTTCCTTTCAGTTAATGGGACTCTCATTTTGCCACCTAATTAATGTCATGTATAGGTGCTCAGACAGACAGGTAGCTTGGCCACTGCTTATGCTGGCCATTGATTTCCAGTTTTTGCTTTGAAGCCCTGGAAGTTTCTGAGGGTAATTCAGTAGGAATAGGTTCACATGTTCCCTGCTCCTTGCAACGAACATAAAGTCAAATAGTAGTATTTAGGAAGGCTTATGGTTTCTAATCTGTTATTGATGTTTGTCCAACTCTATGCTATTCAGGAGAGAAGAGAACTGCAGACACAGCAGATTTTGCCAAGAGAGCCAATTCCTTCTGATCAACTAAGTCCATGTTTTGGCCTGTTTGCCCTTACACCTACTCAACTCAGCTCTCTATGGAATGTCTTCAAGGCTGGCATCATGGATGTCATTCAAGAAGTTACCCATAGACGAGACAGCAATGTGAACATCTCTCCCCTCAGCGGTCTTGTGAGAACTTCAACAACTCTTGGCTCTTCAACAACTTGGTCTTGGAAATAAAGAAAAAGGCTATAGGGATTAGTGTGGGAAAACAGGCTTTAGATAACCATTTTTAAGCATTTTTATTAGCTTTTCCAACAATCATTCTGCATCTCAACTTTGAAATCTTTTAAGTTGCTCTTATACTACCAGGTGGGTAGAACAAGTTCTTTTAATTGCTTCAGTAGAGGTTGCAGAAGGTGCCTCCAAACAGCAGATTGCATGGTTATTTTTCTTATTTCTGAGGTTGAGATCCTCACAACGGTAAATGGTGTCATTAAGAATTTAGCGAAGTGCTAATAAGAGTGGTAGGTTTTGACAGGATTTTATATTAAATTTGCAATATTTTGTTTTGGATGGGATATATGAGAATACCTTCAAGAAATAGGTTCTGCAATTTTTTTTAGGACCATAAGAGGCTGATGGGTGCTTAAGTCAGTGAAAATATTGGGTATAGTATGGATGCTTAATTGAAAGGAACATGAAACGAGGAGGATAAAAAAAATGATCAAGGTGTGCTCTCTTGGTGCTTGTATCAGCTATTTCTAGGAACAAAGTTGACATTAAAATTTCCAAGAAGGGTAGGATTTGATATCAGAACTGTGCTAACCCAGAGTAGCTTTTCAATGCTGGAACTTGTTTTCCAGGAGTCAAAGGTCAAGCTGCAGGTGTTATTCCGGATGACATCCATCCTTTCCCTGTATCTACAACACAGGGCTTCTGAGTTGCAAGGCAACCAAATTGTGTTAGGTCCTTTCTACGAGGTCATGGACTTCACAGCAAGAAGCTTGAGCTATCCTGACTTGGAGTCAGAGTACAAGGGGCTATTGCCCCACATCTCCCAGGTGGTGAAACTATACTATAGAGCTGAATTGCCACATCGGGAAACACTGGGACTTCGAGCTCTCACATATGATTTCCAGAGGGTTCTTGACCTGGAATTGGGATTATCCAAACCTCAGAAGCATTCTCGGAAAAATCAGGTAAGGCCATACTGTGTTTTCCAGAGTTCTTCTGACTCTTAAATTCTTGCTCAAAAAAGTTCTTGCTTGAATTGAAATAGTTATTTTTTTTTATCAATTTACTTTCTAAAAACTTTCAGGAGAAACTTTCAACTGAAAACTTTTAGGAGAAACTTTAAAAATCTATGAAACTAGACTACTTTTTCAGAGTGGCAGTGGAGACATTTCCAAAAGGTGTTGTGGATGGCCATCTTTCATTCCTTAAAAAACAGTTGCAACTGAAGATGTTTTGGTGTTGGCATTTATTTTCATATCATTTTCATAGCTTATAACCCCAACATCCAACAACTCAGCTATTAGGTAGAAGTGTGTGAGCAAAAATGACAATGACTAGGGAGAACATGAGAGTGTGAACCACTCCCTTTAGGTGGTAAATATAAATATTGCTGTAATTTCAGTGTAGGAACAAGTGAAGGTTAAGTGACTCAAATGACTAAAGGAAAATTCCTTGGAAACAGGCTTGACTAATGTTTTGTTCAAGCTTGTGCAGTTTACAGTATAATTCTTTTTTCATTATTGTTAGATGGTGTGAATGACTTGGTCTGCAAGGATTACCTTCAGTGGTAATTGTGAGAAATAAAAGAATCTACCATTCTCCCTCACCATGTAATGACTGTGACCTTGAAAAGACATAGCTCTAGAATCTATACTGATGACATCCTTGACATCTGTCAATTTCAGATTAAAAATTTTTATTGATGCCTAGATTTTAAGTTAAAACATGAAATGAAATGAAGTGACTGTTCCAATTTTTGCCCTAGGCAATATGTTTTTCGTGATTTTGCGACTTTTAAGGTAGTTCTTCCAGTGTACTTCAGAAAACCTAGCAAATAATATTCTCTCCAGAGAGGTGGGAAGCATATTACCAGTGATGCATGAACTAATACAGTTTCTTTGATTAGCTATTTTACAATAGCTCTTTTTGCCAAAAATTGACCATTTTCAGAGTGCCTGTTTTCATTTTTGACATTACTGCTTTTCAGGTGTATAGCCATATTCAGAATATCCTTTGTCTCTTTGAAGTGAGACCATAATCAAAGTTCTACTTCAATTACTTTTGCAAACATAAATCTTTTAAGGAACCCTACTTTTTTGCAAAAGAGGTAAAAGCAATTCATAACAACAAAGAATTATTACGAAATATTAGAACTATTATGGAGAAAATTTGGAGAAAAATCTAGATAATTTTTTTTCCACTGGATGAACAGGGTAGAACGATCCAATCACCTGCCTGAAGCTATTATGCATTTTCTTCCATGCTTGGCACATTTATGCATTGTCTAAAAAAACTATGGCAAGTTGAAGTGTTCCAGATGTGTTGAAGTTAATGAAGTGCTCCAGATAATAAGTTATTACTACTCATATTTCAAAAGCCTATTACCTGGAAAAATGAATAGAATTGAAGAAGGCATCCATTGAGTCTCAAGCAAATGGTGAAGTAAATGTTGATTCCTTCTGTAGTTTCAATTCACATTGGCTTGTAACTAAATACATTGGCACCATCATAAGTTTCATTGATGGAATTTGCCCCCTACTTGCTAGATATGATCTGAAATTCATGATAATAAGTTGACAGCCAGTATGATACTGATTATTTGCAGAAGGGGATTCTCAAGGGGGCATATGGGCTTAGGGGCTGCCTAAGGGTGTTGCTCCTGGAAGGGGCTGTGGAGTCATCTCAGTTCACACAAAAGGTGGAGGATGTGATTGAGATGTGTTTCTGCTCACCCTGCTTCACATCATGTGATCATGGAATTAAGTTCCTAGCCCTGTTCCTCTCCTTGAACGCATCCCTTTGTGATAGACTGCACAAGTCCTTCATGAATCTCCTACTTGACCATCTCAGCCCACATGCAGCCAGATCCTATGGGAAGGCATTCTTGCACGCCTGGCTTCTTTCAACTCATGCGGCTGTCACTGAGGTCTGGTTACAATCAATTATTGTTTTTACTTGTTTCTCTTTCATTCATACATTTCACTGGTTTCTCTCAACTATCCATCTGTCCCTTAGGGTCCAGTCTTGCTGTAATATTGTCTGAAGAAAAGGAATTGAATCTAGTAACTAAAGAAGAGGCATAGTTTCTTTACTCAAAATGATGCAAGATTAGGTTGGCTTAATTGGAAGAATCATTGTTTTTTCATCCCTTGAGAAATTTATATGGCTAATTTAGAATCATTCTCTTGGGGACTAAGTAACCAACAAATTTGATGTATCTGAGGGTAGCCTGGTTAAGATTTCTCTAGACCATTGCAGATTTTGGTCCACTCAAATCCATGCAGTTATCAGTAATGTATCAGTAAAAATCCTTACCCACAGCCTGGAACTTCATCTTTACACCTTCCTCTCCATATCTGTTGTCTCAATGGGGCTGAAACATAGACCATGTATGACAAGCCCAGGCCTTTTCCATTGCCAGTAACGTAGCTTTTGCATTCCATTAGACACTCACCACAATGAACAGATTCTACAACAGACAGGACAACCAGCCCTCCCTTTCCTGATTCATCAGTGCAAATTATGACGGCTTGACCACCAGTATTGCATGCCCCCTTCCTTGATTCCCTAGATAGGTTATTGAGTCCTCCCCATAACTTCTGCATCCAAAGGGTTACATTTTTCATCTCAAGATCGAGGGACTATTTGTCCTGACCAATAGTAGGCTCTACTGGAGTGAGCTTGGAAAACACTTAATTGCATAGCTTGTCCATCTATCCTTCAATGATGGTACAAGTGAATTTACATGAACAAACTTCCATTCCAGTTCTGTATCCTTGTGCATCTCCACTTGAAAGTTTTTTTTAAATATTAGTATTGCTGTCATATACATTCTGCATCTAGGATAACCTCACCAATTTCAAAATGAATGCCTGGTCGTGGATTTACGAAATGGTGGCCTTGTTGTATCTTCTTGGAGCTGTGACATGCCACATGATATTTTTCTGTGAACAAGAGAAATGAAAGCTCCATAAAAGTAATGAGCCAAGTCAACAGCTCTTAATATTGTTTCAAAATGATGTAGTGAAATTATGATGATGACCTTGAGTGAAAAAATACATTTCTATTTCCATCAAAATGATCCCTCTTGTGGCACCTTGCATTTTCACAATGCTTTAGGTAGGTATCACATATAGTCTAACAGTGACATCGATTCTCTCTCATCAGAAATTGGAGGACATTATTCAAGATCTGATGAACAATTCTCTTCATGGAAACCGGCTGAAGCATGGCGGAGTGTGCAATGTACTATTTGCCTTTCTGGATGCCATTCATGGAGAGGGGAAAATTATGAATGCAACTGGGCGATGCAATTCTCTCATTGAGAAGTTGTACCGCCCAATCCTATGGAGGGCATTAAAGGTGAGGGGCTTTTGGATTTGTTTTCATTGGCAAACCAATGTTTAGATAGTATTGGTAATATTAAGTTTTTTTATCATGAAAAGTCACCAGTAACTTTGATTTCTCTTTCTTAAAAAATTTAGCTTGACTTAATTTTTTCATGTAACCTTTTGTTAATTCTCCCTCTTAAAATTTCTCTTCTTAAGCATAGAAGTACAAGACTCTAGCTTGGAACCCCATAATTTACTGACAATGACAATGAGGAGTCACCGTGTCAAGTGTGAGGTCCTTCTTGCTGTAGAATGATGTACCTGGCAGGGTAGGAATATGGAATTAGAGCAAATAGGACATAAGAGAAACTCTTTAAAAGTCTCATTGATGAGCTCTTCAGAGGCATTTTGACATCATTTTACATCTCAAATGATTACAGCATAATCACCGCCTAAGTAATTGCAGCTATGTATGATGTGAGTGGAGATTTCTTGATTGCTTTGGAAGGGTGCTAATGGCCTGGTGAGATGGAATGGGACCCTGCTGTTCTTCAGTGCATTTCCCTTGGAAAGCATCTCCCTTAGTGTCTTGGACCGAGACCAACTCCAGCAAAAGCAATTCAACCTTATTCCTGACCTTCTCCTAGATGACTGCCCTCAAGTTCGACTGGCAGCTCTGTCTGTGAGTTCTATGTCCTAATTTTCAATTTACTCTGCCATATCCTTCATATGACAAATTGAAATAGGTAATTCTGAACCATGTATGCAGCATCAGCATCTTGTGGCTTCTGTTTATTACCCAATTATTGTCTGTCAGCAAAATGACTTGAGACTAAGAATAGGGTGACCAGTTCAAGACAGAAACCAGGAGTTGGATTATTGGGCCCATTTTTTCTATCAAACTATTACTTCTGAATGATACTTCACCAACATTCATACTCCATTTATTAAATAGCTGCATGATGATGAATTTGATGAATTATGAACTGGGTTTTTTTCAGCTGGGTGGAGCCCCTGTCCTGTCACAGCTAATGCAACCTTGCTGTTCTTGAAACAATTTTTTGACAGCAGAATTATTAGCTATGGAATTTGGCCACCATGATCTCCTGACCTATCTCTGCCAGATCTAATATCAGAAAAATCCATATGCTGTGCATCAATTGAAAGCAAATAATGAGAATGTTATACAGCAAAGTGCTGAACTGAAACGTGTTTCTGCCAACATGGTCTGTCATTTTGAAACATGCCTGGCTGCTCATGGAAATCATTTTCAACACTAGTAAAGTTACTTGGAATTCACAGCAATGACATGTCTGTTTTTGGGTTCTATCTTGAACTGGTCACCCTGTTCAAGGAACATAGAAGGGAGAAGGCTGTACAGGATGATTTGAGTGTGGAGGATTTTTTCATGAGATAATTTTCATTTTGTCCAACAAATTGCACTGAATCCCAGGGTTGTCAGGTGATGTCTTCAAAAAAGTAAGTGAGGGAAAAGTAAGATATCTTAGAATGAAAAAGGTGAGGCACAGGTCATTTATGAAGAGGGGAATAAGTAATAAGTTTCCATGGATCTGCCATGTACCTTTTTGTTCAGTGATCCTCATCTTGATTCTTTTGCTGCCATGTTTGGCTATATTTGAACTGTGCCTCATGCTCTTTGATTGTTATGTTTGACTCTAGTCTTCATCCAGGAATTTTTTTGTACTTTTACTGTGACATTTGACTTCAATCCCTTGATCAATCCTTGAGTGCAAAATTTCATCTATTCAGACACTCAATACATGCTAACATCAGTTAAAAAGTTCTGGAGTTTTACTCAATGATGAAAATTAAATATGCAGTGAAAGGATTAAATAGGTCCAGTACATTTTCAGCCTTTGTTTACCAAATGTACTTGGGTTCAGGGACTTTGGAATGATGGCATGATTTAAAAGAAATAAAAATGGAGCTTTGGCTAGCTTTTGTAATGTATAATATGCTCATAGCATACTCTTCATCCAAGAAATCTCCCCATTCACTCCATAGATGAGTTTCCAAAAGTGCATAATCTCAGGTGTTCCATAATGTGTTGAAGTTAAGTTCTGTCACCCTGAGAGAACTGAGTATGAAAACTCAGTAAGGACTCTGATAGTATTGAAGTTCAAGCTTCATAGTGTTGCTATTTCTAAAAGGAATTTGACATCTTACTTGCAAGAACTTAGTTTTCTCATTCCGAAGTCTTGTTTAACCTTTTGATTGCAGTGTGACACCAGCTTGTCATACAGTGCCATAGGAAAAAAATGACAAAACTACCATGGTAGTTAACATGTTAAAAGATTATGTCAAGCATCAGGTGAAGTATCTGACTTTGTGGCAGCACAGCTGTGATGAGATATTAAACTCTCCTCATTGTGCAGGAACATGGCATACTATGCAAATGACTAGCAAACAAGAAATAATGCATATAACATTCAAGATAAGACACTACTCTATTTGTAAAGTGAGAAGATGCTAGATCACACTCTTTTTCCAGGGACTGGGAAAGGCTCTGAAGAGATACTGGAAGGTGTTTCCTGGGGAAAAGATCAAGACATTCATGAAGATCATCATTGAAGACCTGTCTATGGATGGATCCACTGTTTCCATTCGGGTCATGTCCTTGCAAGTGAGTTCATATATTGCTTGCCTAAAAGTACTGGCAAGGGACCTGTGTTCCTTGCTTTGTAGACAGAATAATGTACCTGTCTCAGGTCTGGCACACTTGAATGTGCCATGCATATTTGTAATTGGTGGGTTTACTCATTTGACATGCAGGCTATTGGATACATTTGGCAAGGATTGATGAGATAGGTGAGAAGTTGAAGTAATTTTTATATGCCATTCCCATAGGAATTTTTTTTTTATTGTCTTTTTTCCATTCCATCTGTCTGCAGTTTTGATAACCAAACAACTCAACTCTGTGCATATGCAGCCCTCAGCCTGGGTTGGGGTGCTAGTCAACATTGAAACTTTCCTTCCTGCCCTTGCAATGATGGATCAATATTAGACAAAGGGAGAAAGGAACTGCTTGTAGCAGCATATGATGGCTTACTGAGGTCATGACCTTATGCTTCTTGCCCCATTTTAAAGGGCATGGTTGTGTTACACCCTTCTACCATCTATCCCAAGTGTCTTCATAGCTTGAAATAGGGATGTTTCACCCATTCCATCTCCTATAAACTTGAGTGCATATCAGACTGTCTCCCTCTGAAGAGACTCATCGGGAAGGAGTGGATTTTTACATGCTAATGAGTCCTAAAATATGCAAAGTATGCCTTTTATATGCCAGAACAAATTCTTTGGAAATGGAGATTAAAATGTACATTACATGTTGCCAAGTTTTACCTGGCCTTCTGTGGAAGAAGAAAAAACTTAGTGATGAAATCAGGCACCTGCTGGGCATAATTGGTCTATTCTTGTCAGAGCATGTGATTAGTTGACTACTGGAAAATTGCTCTGAAAAAGAGCATGTTTTCTTAGAAAGTTTTGCTTTTTTTCCTATAAGTTTGCAAAATATGGGCAAACATGCAAATTTATTTGAAAAACACCAAAATGTGCATGGTCATGCAGTAACCCTTATCTGGGCAAGGGGGGGGGGGGTTGTGTCCATTGGACCGCCCCAGGGTATATTTCAGTTCATTACTCTGTAATTTTTTCAAAATATTCTTCAAATTTGATATGGGTTTCATAGACAGTCATCCATAGATTCAAAAACTAATTTTTAAAGTTTGGATTTGCTTTGGATTTTAAAGTTTGGATGTTTGGCCATGGCCGTTTGTGTCACAAAAATACCTTGCCCAGATAAGGGTTTAAAAAAAAAGAAGGGATTGGTTGCTTCCACTTGTAATTTACAATTTAGCTATTTACATTTCCCACCTAACCTCCCCGAAGAATATCATGACAGATGGTGGCAAGCACTGCAGTAACACGTTGGTGACAATGTGTCCTGATGCCAGGATGCAGATTTTTTGCCACGTGGGACAATGCGTCCTGATGGCAGGATGCAGGTTCCAAAAAACGTCTTGTGCGCAGATATCGAGTATCTAGCGATCACATATTGATCATCAGGC